CACTGGATACAAAGAGCAGGCACAGAAGCAAGCTGAAGCTGCAGAAAAACTTCTCTCCTGGGCGCAGAGCAGGATGAAAGCTGGCAGAACCCGCCGGCGCGGCTGCGAGCCGCCTGCACTTCTCCTTTGTGCAGACCTTAACAAAGCATCCTTGGCTATTTTGGGCTGGGCTGCTCGGGAAGGGAGGGACCACCAGCACAGGAGCAGCCCCGGGGCTTTACGCAGCTTTACAGAGGCTCCGTGGAGAGCCACGAAAGGCAGAAACCTCTGCAAATGCAGAGCTCTGCTGAAGGGCTATGCAGAAGATAAGGGGGGCGGAGGAGAAAAATTAGGGTTTTCAGTGCCAGGCCGGTGTCAGCATTTCTAGAGCCATACAAGGCACAGGCATCAGTGCGTCCTTCACCTCCAAACACACCAGGGTGGACCCCCTGGGACTTTCACAAGAGTGAATTTTTAGGAGCTGCCACAATGCAGCAACTAAAAATCTTTAAGAAGCAATTTGGACTGGAAGATTCCTCACTAGAAAAACAGATCAAGAAAAACCAGTGAAGAAGCTCAGAGGTGAGCAGGGAACGACGATCAGCACGGCCTGGCACAGCGACAGCGGCAGCTGAAGGCGATCTTCACCTCTGGAAGGAGATGCTGAGCTGTGTCCTAGGGGAAGATGCACGGCAGCCTCCCGCTGTCCTAAATAGCATTAGCAAGGCTCAGCCCCGTCCCTTTGGGTTGCTGTTCATACTATATACGGCTGCAGCTTCCCCAGCACCCGCTTCAAAGGAGCCTGGAGAGAGAGAGGAAAGATCTCAATGTTCCAGGCGTAAATCAAGGGATGTGTCTCCCCTGCCCGGGTCCCATGCCAGACCCTGGGCAAGACTTCGTTTTCCAGCCACCAGCTCCTGCTAACAGCTTGGCCAGTGCCTTAGTGAACAGTGGGGGGAAAAAAAAGTCAGAAATAGTCAACAAGGGGAACTGAAGAGCCGTGGTTTACAGAGCAGTCCTGTTACCGAGAGCTGAACGTGCTGACAACGCTTCCACCACAGCGCAGGTTTGCACAGCTCAGTGATTTCACAGGAACACAGCATCCGAACACGGCTGCTGCTCCAAGAGTTCTGCAAAACCTCCCCTGCTGGGCTTTCCACCGTTCAATGCAACACCAACAGGAGCTCTGCCCACGAGCCCAGCGCCGCTCCAGGGGCGCACAAACCAGCCCAGCCGGGACAAACCGCGCGCTGACAGCGCCTTGCGCTGCTGCCGCTCAGACACAAACGGTTTTCTTGATGTCAGACTTGTCCATAAAAAGCAGGTACACAAATCCCTCCCCAAGAAAAAACCCAGTAACAGGTACCCTGACACTTTCACATACCTAAAAGCACTTTAATGATACACTTAAAAAGCCCACGTAGATTATGCCCACTCATCAAACTTCTCTCTTGCCCAGCATCCAGAGGAACTTCAGAAATGGGCTGACGCAGGCTTTACTATAAATATGGATTTACCTTTTGCCAGCATCGGCCAACACATGAAATATGCACTGCTCAGACTGAACAGGGCTCCCTTTTCCTTCCTGCGTGTTTAGAAACCAACTGGATTCCAGGGCACAATCTGCCACCCGATCACTTACTGCTTGTTTGCAGCTCTACAGAAACACACTTCAGAAGAAACCAAAGCACAGGGGATCTGCAGCCATCAGTTAGAAACCAGAGAGAAAACAGCAGGGAAAGGAGCGAAGATAGGGAGGCTGTGAAGTTACATTTCCATACCAACCAT